ATAAAATACATAACATCGAAGTTCTTAAATGTACGATAATGTAACGATTATAAAATACATAACATCGAAGTTCTTAAAATAACGAACAGGTAACGACTATAAAATACATAACATCGAAGTTCTTTAAATTGTGCAGTACTGTTCGGTATCGTATACAAATGTTTGCTAAACAGTGGTAATAGAATCGAAATAGAATTTGAGATTGACTAAATTGAATTTAGTTCTTAGTTGATAAACGAAATAGAGTTTGAGATTAACAATGAATCTTGATTATCGAAATAGAATCTTAGTCTGTCGATCAGCGGTTGACAATACAAAATATAATCGAAAATGGAAATAGAATTTGCTGTCGATGGATAAGATAACGTGCTGGGTACAATAGTATGACTATGGGTGGGTCACAATATCGTGGTAGGTAAATATCGTGCGCAGGTGATGACCCTCCCGCTATAACAGTACTGCACATCGTACTCATCTTATGATCTGTGTATCATTGACGTGTTTATTTTATATACCCTTGCTTAACATTCTGCACATGGTTACTGTGTAGTGTATTTCTGACTGTGATGAGGTTAATAAAAACATATACAAGTGGGAATGATAGCTAGACCAAACATTGCCCGAGCTAGTGACAATAAGTTAGTCACATCTCTTGTGCAATGCCTTTATTATAACACTGACTGCCATCTTCAACATGGCATGAAATATTAGTTATGCATATTAAAGAGGCGACATGATCCAATTCATTTAATATACATGTTTTCAACCCTCTAGTACTGAGGTGTGAATTATCCAAGAATATGTACATAGTTTCATTTACATTTTATGGTAATAAGCATGCGCAAAATTCAACCCTAAACGAAACAGGTTTATCACAGAATACCCGTGTACTTAATGTTCCATTGACATTGGAAGCAAGATTTTAGAGATATCAGCGGAAAGCTGAAAAATTGGCTAAGTATTATGCAAATTAGGAATTAGCATGTACAAATTACAACCAAAAACTAATCGGGTCTGAGCAATGTCCAAGACTATCTATCTACCAAGTTTCATTGAAATATTAGTTCTTTAGATGAGTCTGTAGAAAAGCTGATTGTTCAAAATTGATATGAATAGATTTCAACAGAAAACTAAACAGGTCCCTAAATGGGAGAAACACTCGTACACTATTCGGTCATGTTGAAACTGTTTAAGCGAGGCAAATGCATAATGTACAAGTTTGAACGTGATTTTCACATGAAATACACGAAAGAGGTCCAGTTTCAAAATGCTTGATGTTGCTGAATTGCCAACATTAAATAGGCCTCCATTCAGCCATCTTGAATTTGATACATGTGCATATGAAGTACATAAAAAGTTTAATCGCAATTGGACGAGATATAGCGTCAGACAGCATTTGTTAAAACAAGATGGATTCAAAAAGGCGGGCTGATAACAATTCTGCATAGAAATCGTGCAAACGGTGATAAAAGCACTAAATTTTGCATCATGACTCCCAAGTGTATATTCAGTAAATCTACCCGATTGGCCACCTAAAAATCCAAGATGGCCGCAATTTTTTTCAAGATGGCCGCCAAATAAGCCTGGAAATGCATGTACTTGGCTGATTTGAGTTATTTTGGTGCCAATTTCTGTGTTTTCTGGTGGCCAATCTTAAGGTAGAGAGGTACCTGACAGGTATTTTAATTAGTTAATTAGAAAACCAAGATGACCTCCCTTGTCCACAAAACTATATATTTTCGGAAAGCTTATTGTATGAATTTTAAAGTTTTGTTAGTATTTTATTTTTATGGACACTGTAGTTTGAAATATGCACAAAATGTGCTTTTTTTGGTCAAAAGTGATTTAAAAAAAATTAGCTTCTGTTTCCTGTTAAAATTGGTTTATGGGTACATCTGTTTACTATGAAGAAATCGTCGTCTTGAAAACTGTCCATCAGTTGTCAATTTTGTAGGGCAGCAGCTCAAATTTCACTACTTCAAGTTTATGCATAAATTAACACCCAGACTAGTTGTCAGTACGATTGCTGTAACACTATTCAACTAAAAACAATGCCCAGACAGCGTTTTGACGATAAACACATCGTCAATCATTTGTGAAAATTTCAAAAAAAAGGACAAAGCGTCTAAGAGCTATTTTTTTAAAGTTCTGGAATGTGCACTGAAAAGCAGAGATAATTGCTAATTTGCATAACAATTCACTCAGTACGAAGTTTGCTAATGCTCATAATTAAAATGGCTGTTAGTTTCAAATTTAAATGTATTATCGTTTTGTAAAAAGTTAAATACAGTGCATAATATGGACATTCAGTCATTTCTTTTTTTCACCATGTTTTTTTATTATTTATGTACAGCCTTGCTAAATCTTGCTAAGCATTCAAAAGAAATAATTTTGCACCTGTTATCTATATTTTAAAATCGTTTTTGAGTATGTTCCACTATTCACAATTCTACAAAATTTCAAGTCTATATATCCAAGACTTTTTGGATAATAAAAAATCAAAAAAAAATTTCACTCCAAAGTGCCCACGAACCTGCATCTCTACCTTAAAAGAACTTCCATCAAGATTGAACAAAATCTTTCCACAAACAGAAATCTGGCTCTTGCAAACCCTTCCGTCATATTTAATGAAATCCTAAAACTAATAAGCTGGGCTGGGCTGGGCTGGGGGGGGGGGCGAGAGTGTAATCAGTGTCTTCTTCAAGCGAAGGCTTCTTGTGCCCCCCATAATCAAGGCGTCAAGATTGTTAACTATTAAATTCTAAGTTACCACATACCAACACCAAATGCTATTTTTCTGTACAAAAATGGTTTATTTTTCTGAGCTTTTACAGAAACGTACTGTAAAAATTGACTAACAATCTAAAAACAAAATGAATACATTGTTTTTACAGAGGTGATGAACAAAGTATAAAACCTAGAATAGCGTCCTCATCAGAAACTCGTGGGAGATTATTTAGCTATATACAAACTGTACACTGGGATTACAGCGATATACGCCATTTATTTTTCACCTTACAACTTACAAACTGATCTAAAATAAAAACACAGAAACCAAACAAACCATTCAGCATTAATTTAACTAAGTTTAACTAAGGTGTTCAATTTGCATACTAATAAATAAACTCCCTAGTTAGACAAAAAAAAGATACCGGTAGAACCTGGCATTACACAATCGACACAATTTCATGTTAGTGAGTTCTGCTCGTTAATGAATCATCCCACTAAAGTTATGTTGAATACTTGCATTAAAGTCTTGGATCAATATGGGCAGAGTTGACCAACTGACAAAACATACAAATTCCAAGAAATTACATGTTATGAATGTTTAAATGACTACCAGCTGAAGACTGACAATGCTGGATCAAGCATCTTAATGCAGCATGGTTGACATATCTAAGCAAAAATATCAGCAAGCTGAGTGAACTGTGATTTAGAGACATCAGAGTGGAAGACGACAGTCTCTCAATGTAAAATATTCTGCTGAATGAACTTTACGAAATAGCTACAATGTCTTAATTGAGGTATATTGTACAAATCTATTTACATAGTAGAAAGAAATTAAGCAAAAATTAATGTACAAGAAATGGATCTAAATATCCAACAAATTAATTAACACAAGGCTTTTTAATAAATGCAACAAGGGTGGAGGCTGGGAGTGATGTAGGAACAAAGCACTCCATGAATCATTAATAGTAGCAGTGCACTTATTAATTCACAGAATGTCTCTTGATTAATTTCAGTCAAAACTCATCAGCCTTAATCTATTATTTGTAAACTGCCCTCAATGGATACCTGAGCCCAATGCAGGAGACACCCAATGTAGTTGCCGGATCACTTTTCATTTTTCCCACTTGCAAGAATAATTGGGACTCAATCATAAATTTAAATTGAGCAGGATTATGTACAAAATTGAATGCTTTTTTAACGGACTTCCTGTCTTGAAATTGTATCAAAGTAAGCAGTGTTTAGCATTGCAACAATTTGGAGTCACAGAAAAAAAACAAGTTTTGGTAATGCATACACTGTAACCTCAATATAATGAACACATAGCATGTCTCCTGCTCACAACAAACCCAATGTATTATGTGCTTCATTATAGTGAACATTTCACTATAACAAACCCAATGTATTATTTGCTTCATTATAGGTGAACATTTCACTATAACAAACCCAATGTATTATTTGCTTCATTATAGGTGAACATTTCACTATAGCAAACCCAATGTATTATGTGCTTCATTATAGTGAACATTTCACTATAGCAAACTAACTGTATGTCCTCCAAAGAGTTTGTTATAATGAGGCTACAGTGTACTTTAAATTGATATTACGATCACGCTTATATTAGTAAGAAATACAACAGACACTGATTTTATGGAAAATTAACTGCCAAATAGTAAACATTTGTTCCCAACATGCAGTTTTCAAGGAACGCTATGTCATCGTACTAAAAAAGTAATCATTCTATAATGGACAACTTGCATTCAACCATTCCTACTGACTTTTGCATAATTGTTCAGAGTAATGAAAAGAATTCAAATCAGGCCATCAAGTACCAGCACTTTTTTATGTTGCTCATTCATTGGTAACAAAGCTGCGCAGACAAGTTATCAATTCCTCGCCAATAAGCAAAGCTGTTTCAACACTGCACTGGATAGAGTATTTCCAAAGTTTTGAACTCGTAGGACTGATATAAAAAGAGAAGCACATAAAATACTGCCAGAATGGAGAAATTAGTTTTGTTCTAGTTAAAACCAGTTATCACTGGTTACACCTGCTTGTATATCACTATGATGGTATAGAATTAGCTTGTTTGGTTGTGATTTTAGATTCTTCGGGATGATCATCTTCTTCTTGAGGAGCAGCAAATTGGGCAGCAAAAGGAAACAATTCATGACATTTACGCTGGTACTCTTCAGCTGCAGATTCACATTTGAAAAAATCACATAATAAATTTAATACTTCTGTACAATTCTGTAAAAAAAAACAAAGAAACAAAAGTTAACAATTTGTCAAAGCCTGTAATAATAGATGTGCCAACAGTTGCTACCAATCTACTAAGTTTGAACTGAATCGATCTGCACAATTTGGAGATAATGAACTAACAAAAAAAAGATATTTGTGGTCAAATATGCTGCCATTTTAAATCTGATAGAAAAATATGGCAGCAAAATTTATCATGTATCAACTATGTACCTAGTTAGAAACAATTGGGACATAAACATGTTCAGTCAGTGGAAGGAACTAATTAAATCATATGAATACTAATGCATTTGCATAAATGATGGGTGTGTCTATAATAAAAAGTTACCGTAAAAATTCGGTTGCCTAATTATTTGTCAGGTTTCAATTATATTTTTCAAATTCAGTAAAAATTGACGACTTATTCTTATTCGAAAATTGTGACCAGTTTTGGTCTTCACTCAAACAGAAAAAAAAATCGATGTGAGTGTACAAAGGGGACTTTCCCCGATAGCGTGAATATAGTTTCTGATTGACTGAGAGATTTTATTTTATTGGTAACGAAAATATATTCTAAACGAAGTTTCAAATAAAAACGAACACAACTTAATTGCGTAGCGGCAAATGATTATGGTTGCGAAATCTGGTCATGCTGTGTTTCACAATTGTTGATTATTACTCACGAGTGATTATATTAATGTACAAAAAAATAAATTCATTGAATTGTTATGAAATGCAAATAAAATTCAACTTAGTTTCATTGTAAGCAAACAATTTCGATCGCATATAAACGCTCAATGCTGTAGGATATCCGCTGTGTTCTTTCTCTTAGGTCAAATAGGTCAAATCGCTAATTAACCAATCAAAAAGCTGGATGATGTCAACGTGTTCAAATTACCATAGCTCATTTAAATATGTTAATGTTATTGAACGCACCATGTTCAATGCTGATGTTGTAGTCCAATCTTTTGGCTTGGATTTTGATGGGAAAACAGCACGACTTTTTTTTTAAATAAAAAAATTAGTTTTCAAATAATAAACTGAGCATTTGAAGAATAATTTAACATTGTTTACTGTCGAAACAATGTTTACCCATCCACGCTAGTCGCAATAAAATCAATACTCTTGAATAGGCGTCAATGATTATGGTAAAACCTTTTAGGCATCACGAATGATTGAAAAGTCCGAAAAATTACGACAATATATACCTTTATTTTTTTTTTTAAATCCCATTTAATTTTTTTTAATCCAAACTGCCGTTTAACAGACCAGGGCGAATATACGGCAGAATCTGGTCCCTCAAATAAGGGAAGCACACTCTCTATCATCCCCATTTTTTCATTTGTTGATTTCTATTCTGAAAAATTCGTCCGTTTGAAAATACACCCCAATTTTGTACTCTAAAAACATGTCGAAATATTCACGATTGAGTATTCAGAGTGTTCAATAGATGCAATTTTTGGTTTATGTGTGCTTCAATTAGACATGTGCTTCTGATTGTGGAAAGACAACTTGGGTAACATAGTTGGTAAGGGGAAGAGAGTACAAGTACCTGTAAATTTCTATCTTCAAGGTTATCACCAAGCTGAGTTATCAAATCTATAACGCTATCCGAATTAGAATATACATATTTCCCCTGGGCACCTGAAAAATACAAAAGTATTAAGTGATGTTATATTATGCAAATTACAATACTGTTACTCCGGGCGTAATAAAAACCACTCTCAGTCAGTTGTTTCCCTGTTCACAGTAATAATAAAAGTAATAGCATTAGTCTGCCAATTTGATGTTCATCAGGCTTCCATATTGACCTATGTTTGAACGAAACATCCTTACATGACTAACATCTGGTTCCAGAATGGCAGATTTTTTATTTTTAACATTAAAATGGCCACTATTCAGCCACCTTGAGAATTGAATTTTCAAATGTACAGTTTGATTTTTGTACTAAGTTTGAACAAAACCCATCCATGAATGACCGAGATTGAATTGACTTGCATACGTATCTTGTAATATGTGACGTATTTGAAAAGTATGAACAAGGCATTCGTAAGACAAAGGCGGAGACGCACACATGGATAAACGAACTGTTGAACAAAGGTCAAAACACTAGTCCCAGTTTTCTGACTGTCTGAACTGGGAATAAAGCAAACATTTTGAATTGGCTACATCAGTGTTCTCCCCAGAATTCAATTTGTGTGCGGGGCCGCCACGCTGCTTTGCGGGGCCAGCACGCTGCTTTGCCTGCCCGCCACTGTGGTCCCAAGCCGCCACGGTGATTAGTTAGACCGCCACAGTGCTTTTTTCATTGTTCATCCTGTGAACTGTATTACGAAATATAGAAAGAAATACGTAGCTATCAGGGATCTTGCCACGCTTCTGACCAGGACTATTGTCCGACGTAGCGACCGACACGCATCCTGCCAGTCGTGGATTATAATTTGTAAACAATAGACGTAGTCGCACGATGTGGTAATGGCTTATAAACAATACAAGTTAATTTTGTAAAATTAGCACTTCTTTGTTCGTAAGTAAATACTTTCTGACGATAGACGCAGTCTTTAGATTGAAAGCTAACATTTTTCAAAATCACTTCCACCCCGATATAACATGGGCAAAGCGGAGTTCACGATCAGTTTACGCTACTCAAGAAAAAAACGTGTTTAATGCGTG